GGCTTGGGATAACTTGGGATAGCTTGGGATGGCTTAGGATAGTTTGGGATAACTTGGGATGGCTTAGGATAGTTTGGGATAATTTAGGACTGGAGGGTGGGGTCTGCTGACCAAGCCTGGGTCTGTGGACCAAGGTGGAGGCTCATGGGAGAGGGACACTGCTGTTGGTACCATGTTTTTGGGGATTGGGAGAGAACTTAGGCCAGGGGTAGGCTGGCAGGTGGGGCTCTGGACAGCCCGGTCAGTTGGGCAGGGCAAGAATGACTCTGATGCCTTTGCAGAGGCTCTGGGAGGTTGGTGACTTGGCCTGCGTCACACAGCTAGTGAAGGACCAGATGGGCTTGGACGGATTCTTGCGACTGCCTGGCTGTTGCTCTCTGCCCCAACCCTTGGCTGGCCTCTGCCTGTACCCAAACCTGGCCACCTCTCAGACTCAGTTGGGGCTTAAAATACAGATTGTGGGGGCCTATTCTCAGATATTCTGATTCAGGGTATCAACCTAAATCACACACAGAGATGCTCTCTAAAAGGTTAAGAAGCACCCCGGAAATGCAACGTGCAGTGGGAGGGCACGTGCTGTGGTAAACCATGTGCATCTTCAGGGAGGTAGAGGAAAGCAAAGGGTTTGAAGGAAAAGTGATGGAGGATGACGGGATTGTTTTGAGGTCGTCGTCCTTGGCTACAAGGACCAACAGCGAGAGTGATGCCAGTCCGAGGCTGGACAGGCGGTGGCTGCGCCCGTGTCCTTGCAGAAGTACGCTCTGTAAGGTTGCGATAGCCTCTGTACAAGGCTGTGGCTTGCAGAGTCCCTTGTGATAGCTCTTGTTATCAGGCACTAGTGCATAGGAACACCCCCACATGGCCTTCCCGGGCTCTGTTTGTCAGGGGCTTTAACACTTGTGACTCCATCTTGATTCTGAAAACTTTCACAGGTGGGTGGAGTGGGGCTTGGATGTCTTTTTTTAAGAAAGCTTTCCAGGTGATTTTAATGCACAGGCACCCGGGTCTGTACTGGGGGGCCAGGGATGGATGTTTGCTGGGGGTGGAGGAGGAAGCTCTCCGCCAGGGCCTCACCCATGGGCAGTTCTGCAGGGCAGTTGAAGCCTGTAGTCCTGCGAGGACGGACTGACTCTGTAAACTATGCAGCTGCTCAGCCATGGATTTCACTTTCTCTCGTGTGCATTTTAGCATACTGAGACAGATCCCTTGAAAAGTTCTTCTGTCTCTTGGCCAAGCTTGTGGGAAAAGTGCATTTCCAATCCCTCTGCTGGGAGACCAGGACACAGTGCCCCCGGGGGAGTCCCGGGTAGGTGGGGGCTGCTGCTGACTGTTTTAATGGTGCCCGAGAATGTTTTAGTCACATCTGGGAACACATACAGACTCAGAGATGACTGTTGTGAAGGAAGAAGTGTTTATACTCACAGATCTCCAGAAACAGGAGGCACGGCCACCATGCAGGGCCACACAGGGCGCACCAGGGTTGGTCAGGAGGCCACGGGAGTGAGGGGCAGAGCCTTATTGTGGCTTCTCTGGATAGGAGCAAGCAAGACAGGGTAAGGAGGCTTAGGATTGGCTAGTTTGAGTAATTTTGGTGGGCTCTGGAGCATAGGGGCTGCCCCTGTTTGTCTGGCACCTTGTCCTGGGGTGATTAGGGCAGGTGACAGTGGCCTGGAGTATGAGAGCCTTGTTGGGGAGGTGCTGGGAGGTCTGGGCTCTGGACTGGTTGGTTTGCCGCAAGATGTTTGGAATTGCCTCTCTGCGAGAGGCAGGCCCTCCAGAGTCAGCAAGGCCCCAGATGTCAAAGCATCAGACATAGAAACTAGAAAATGTGTCTGTTACTCCTGCCTGCCCAGGACATTGGAGAGAGCAACTGGCCCCGGGCGGAGGGGGGCCCTGGTGTGAGATGTTGGAACAGCTGTGACATTGGACGTCTTCCCTGGGGGATTCCCTTTGTCCTCCTCAGGAGCACAGTGGCTCTGAGGCCAGCCAGGAGAGGCGGTCATTGCAAGAGCACCTGAGCAGCAGTGCAGCTGGGAGCTCCCGCATCTGTGACAAGACTGCAGGGGGCCAGCCTGCAGGAAGCTGGATCTGGAAGAGATCTCTAGGACCCCAGACCCAGGAAGCTTCTCGTGTGTTTAGTTTCTTGTTTATTTTAATTAACATTTATTATTAAATAAAACACAGATACAGAAAGCCACACAAGACGAATAAGCAGCTCACTGAATTATTACAGGAGGAAACTGTCATCACGTCACCCTGGTCAAGACACAGAGCTGGGCCCCTCCACGGCCGTCCCTGCCTCCCCCAGGGGTGTCACTGTCATGACGTGGGTAGCCCTCACTTCCTGTGCTTCTTTAGAGTCGGATCCCACCATGGTATTTACATGCTAGCTGAAATAGTTTCATGTGAAGATGCTCCGCTCGTCCCCTGCTGGGTGGCCGGGAGGCCCAGCCACAGAGACGAGGCAGGATAAATGTCCGGTACTTTCCTTTTATTTACCAGTTTTCAGGATAATGAATTCTTCCCTGTTATCCTCTGAAGGTGACCAGTTATTTTAAAAATATCATTATGAATGGAAAAATCCAAGCAAGTGTGATCACTTTCAAGACACCGCGGTTCTTCTGCTGTGGTCCCAAGTGTCCGACGAGCTCTGTGCCGTTTGCTGCGACAAGACTCTGAGCTCATTTTGTGCTCTCCCTGACCTGTGCTGCAGACGGCCACTTCAGGGACTTCTTTCATTGGGAACTGGCATTTCAAGATCAGAGTGTGGGTGATAAGGATCATCGATCCTGGGTGGTCCTTGTTTCCAGGCCTTTTCGGTGAGTGGAGGCAGGATATATTTGAAATAAAATGCCTCTGAGTTCATGCTGACACTTGCAATTCACATGAAGATGTGTAGGGTTTCTTACTTAGCCTCTTGTGCATGGCACCTGCCTCTCCCTTCTTCCACACCAACATCTTGGCTCCCGGGGACCCAGGAGATGATAGAGCTAGACTCTCCCATGACTGTTACTCACTCACTCTATCCCGTGCTGCACACACACAGTCTCAGAACACAGGACACTAATGCTACCGGCACCAACGCCAGGACTGACAGTTAAAATCACGTTTGCATGTGCTTCGCTCTCTCTCCCTGCATGTTTTGAGGTGGCACTGATCCGTGTCATCTGTTCATGTAGCCGTTGCATGCTGTCCTCTCTCCTTTCCAGCCCTCGTAATCTTGCTTCCACAAGTAGCCACACTCTGCATGTTTTGAGGTGGCACTGATCCGTGTCATCTGTTCATGTAGCCGTTGCATGCTGTCCCCTCTCCTTTCCAACCCTCGTAATCTTGCTTCCACAAGTAGCCACCCGTCTCTGGGTCACCTCCAGTCTTTGCGTGATGTCTTTCTAATCATTTGGTGTCTGACGCTTGCTCTCTAATGGACTCCTCAGGAAGTCTCGTAGGAGCAATATTTCTGAGCTCCTGCATGTTGCAGGTACTGGGGTCTTTTATACTTGAAAGTCAGCTTTGCTGGATGCAAAATTCTTGACTCACATCTCTCTCCTTCAGTTTCTTAAACAAGCTACTCCATTTTCCTCTGGAATAAAGTGCTGATGTCGAAAAGTCTTATGGCAACCTACTTTTCTTTCCCCTGTGTCTTGATTTTATTGTCTATCCGCCAAAGGATTTTTTCTTTGAAGTTCAGTAATTTTACGAGAATATGTCTATGTATTGGCCATTCTGGGCCCATATTATCAGGTATGTATGTGCTCTGTCAATCTGTAATTTCAAAGGTTTGTTTTTTTTTTTTTTAATTCAGGAAGTTTGTCTTAAATTATAGTTTTGAGTATTTGCTCTATATCCTTGCTTTGTTTTTCTTCCCCAGAGACTCCTATTACCTGCGTGCTAGATCTCTTTTGCCTGTCTTAATAGCCAGTGCTTTCTCTAGAATTTCTTTTCTTTCTTTCCTTATGTGTGATTAAAAGAAATCTTACTCAGTTGCACGACTTTTTCCTCCTAAGGTATCATCTGTTATGATCATTCGTTCTTATGTTCTTTCTAGTTTAGTTTTCATTTATGAAGTGATTTTATTTCTGATTCTCCCCTACGTTCTGTCACCTCCTCCCTGAGTTTTTGCATTTCTGATCTCTGTCGTTTTTCACGTCTTCTGTAATTTTCTTAGAGACCCGTTGGCTTGTTTTGCAGTGGTAGGCGACAGTTCGATCTCTTCGATGGGCACGCATTTCTAGTGTGCTTTCGTCATCTGTGGGAATTACCCCTGTTTCTTATTCTCTCTTTTCTTCTAACAACTTTGAAGGACATTTGCTCTCGATACTTTTCTGCTGCTTATTTTAATGTGAAATAGGTTTTCCTGAACTTTCAGGGGCTGGGATTCGGGGTTGCGTTGCCAGCTCCCCAGTGCTCCGTCTCCAGACAGACTTCTTGCCTCTTTTGCCTTCCTTCTCGGTTATCTGGACCTTCTCTTTCTTTTGTGTCTATTGTCCTCGACCTGAGCAGCTTGGACTCTACTCCTGGCACTTTCTCCTGAATGTGTGGCCCTGTCCTGACAGGGAGCTCCCATGGGTTGCTGTCGAGAGATCCTGGGGCTCCCGTGCTGTGGCCTCAGCCTCTGCTCTGGTCCCCTGCCTGCGCCCCCTGTGGATGCTGGAAACCCTCGCCAGTTTCAGTGCAGTTCCCACGGTGGCCCTCTGCTTTTCAGTGAGTCCCTCATGGTTATTTGGGGTTCTCTTGTTCTCAGCTCCGTGAGATGCCTGTGGCTCCCCTCTGCTTCTCCTCACACAGCTGCTGACACCAGGCAGGTCTCACGGCCAGTGGTTGTCCCCACCTGCTTGTATTTTGGGGTTTGCAGGAAAATCTGATCACCTAGTTTTACGGTAAATGTGTCCACGGGTTTTGGTTTTCCAGCCTGGTTGCTCTGTCTGCTTTTGTGTGGGGAGCCACAGAGAAAACTCTCTCTCCTCCACTGCTTTCGCCTTGCTGGCACCCCTCTGCAGGGTACTGGTCTTCACTCGTGTTTGCTGGTGGCATGCCTCAGTCACTCTCTGTGCCTATGTCTTTGCGTGGGTGTGGTGTTTTCCTCCTGCAGGGTCTGGCTTTTGTTCTCATCTTCCCCATAGCTTCTCTCTGCCCTCTCTCCTGGCTCCTCGTGTCTCTGCTTTCCTAGACTTCAGCGTCCCTGGGCCCTATGGTTTAACTCTGTCTCCCTTCTCAGGGGAGTTCAAGTCTATCTCCGTCTGGATTCCATCTGGGCATCCTTCCAGCCCCTGCCTTCACGGCTGGCTGCCCCCCTCTCACGGGTTACTGAGACTGTCCTGGGTCAGTTCATCTGTGTCAGGTTGTGTCGGGGATCGCTGGTGGCCTCTGAGTTTGCTGTGGACACCCTTGCTGGCCCACTTGGCAGTGGAGGGCAGTGTGCATGGGTGTGGTCATGAGGATGTGTGTAGGGTCCTCTGTGGCAGAACATGGCCCAGCATACCTCCCTCCAGTCCTAGAAGGGGCTGTCCACATGAAATAAGCTCTCAGCTTGTCACCCTGTGCCTCTGTGGACAGTGGTCCCACTGCAGAGGACTTCGGGATCTGAAACCCCCATCATAACCTCTGAGTGCAGCACGATGTCCTCTGTGCAGCCACCAGGACAGCGTGGAGCAGAGCTTCAGACCTTCCTGGAGAACCTGGTGAGGGTGTGCGCGTGAGCAAGGGCAGGCCGGCCACCTGCGGTCCTCAGAACCCTGGTGACTCTGATGGACAACAAAGACTGAGCACCAGGGGCCCAGCATTCAGTGTCTCTGGGAGTCAAGGCCCTGGTTGCTCCTCACTGGGACCCCGCCCTGAGCCCCTTCTCCTGGGCGTGGCTCATGGCTCACCTGACCGGCCACCGCATGGCACTGTGGGTCCTCCATGCTGCACTCGCGCTTCTGTGACCTCCGCATGCTTCCTTGCCTTCATCCACGTCTCCCCTCTGCCCGGAATGCCACCCCCTCACTGTCCACCTGCCAAATCCCTGCTCAGCTTCCTGTACCTGGACCTCCCCAGATCAGGGAGCTCAGTTCTTTCCCCATGGCAATGGTATGTAATTAAAGAGGGAGACGCCGTGTGTCTGGCCCTGGGTTAATAACAGTGAGCAAAACACACCCATCCTTGTGCATGTGGAGCTCACAGTCCAGGAGCCATTGCAGTGTGTGCTGAGTGAGCGGGAAAGAGGCCAGGGAGGCGTGGGAGCTCAGCATGGGGGTGCTGGACTTGGGCCATGGGAATAATGCAGGAAGGTGGGTGCCGAAGCTACTGGGGGAGTCAGCTGACTTGGTGGGTGATGGGGGCAGCAGAGAGGGTGTGGGAGGGGTGGAGAGGATGCCACTTTCCAGCCCAAGGGACAGGGAGCTGGGTGACTTTGAAGGGGGATGGGATAGGTATGACCCAGACAGAAAGTTTCTCTCTCTGCCCAGGGCTGGGGCAGAGCTAGTGAGCAGTTTGCCAACCAGCACCACCATGCTGCAAGGGGGAAGTGTGGGGGCAGGGCAGGGCCACCTATGGGGACCCCAAAAGTCTTCACTGGGATTCGCTGGAGTCAAGACCAAGCAAGAGGAAGTCCTATTGTCATCAAATGCTCCTACAAGACTACCGTGGGACTGGGGGGTCTCACAAATAGCAAAGGTCATCCTGGCCTACCTGCCACCAAGGAGGGCACTTTCTGGCTAAAACCTGGGGTGACCGTCCTCACTTTCCCACACTTTCCCACAGGCCTGCACATGCCCCTCCTCCTGACTTGTGGTGCCCTGTGTGTCTAGGCCTGGCCCAGGCCCTCCCCAGGCCACCAACAATGTTCAGGTCACCCGCTCAATTGTGGACAAACCTCATTTTTTGTGCCACATGCCCGAGAGCTGTGACATTGGCAAGGGCATGGCACAGTCATGGATGGGTGGGAGCCTCCCCGCACCCTTGGAGTCCAGGCGGAGGGCTGTCTGTGGAGGGATTTGGCCCTGTCCCCCAGAGGCCGCACAGGGCGCTAGGTTCAGGTGTGCTGTCGGCAGGAGGCGGGACTTCATGCAAAGTTGTGCTTCATGAGGGCTGTTTTCCTCCCACCTCTCCCTAAGAGTACTCCTTACACAACATGCACAAAACAGCCCGGGGAGACCAGGGGCCTGGGAGGCTGTAGTTTGGGAAGCTCTCGTCAGGGCATGAGGCCCACAGGCCCCGCCAGCTGGCCTGGGCCTGCTGCAGTTGGAAAAACCAGTGAACCCCACATAGGAAGGCCGAGGCTCCTGGGGGGAGCGGTGTCTGGGTGGCTGCCCAGTGTGGCTGTGATGGTGGGTTCTGTTCCCCAGGCTCTTTTATATGTCAGTGCTTGGAGCTCGGAGGGCTTATTCCAAGGAGCAGTGTGGTGACCCTGGTTCTAGTGCAGGTGGCCCATGGAAGCTGCTGAACTCCCACGTCCCTGGGACCAGGCCTGGCCGTGGGGGGCAGGTGAGTGCAGGGGGACGGAGCTCGGAGGGCTTATTCCAAGGAGCAGTGTGGTGACCCTGGTTCTAGTGCAGGTGGCCCGTGGAAGCTGCTGAACTCCCACGTCCCTGGGACCAGGCCTGGCCGTGGGGGGCAGGTGAGTGCAGGGGGACTCCTGGAGAGGCAGGACTCCTAGGCAGACAGGGCTCCCTTCTCGAGCCAGCGCTGCCAGCCCCCTGCCCTCCCACGCCTTTGCACGTGCTGCTCTTCCTGATGGGAGGCTCTGAGCCTCTCTGTGGCCAGGCTCTGGTGATTCCAGGGTGTCACCCAGGACATCAACAGCGAAGACTGGGTATATAACATGTGCCATCTGGGCCCCATAGCTACTCCTCCTGGACTTGCATGTCACTGGCAGGTCAGAGACCATTGCC